CCCTTCCTCTCTCGAAGAAATCAATGAGAAACATCCTCAGGTGAGGATTTAAAAAAAGGGGGGGAATAGAAATAACAGGTATCCACATTAGAAAGGAAGAAGTATAATTACCAATAAATGCAGATGACATAATCTTATACAGTTCATATAAAATTCTCAGGAACAGCTAATAAATCCCATGCTCATGGATTTGAAGACTTAATATTGTTAAAATGCAATACTCCCAAACTGGTCTACACATTCGGTGCAATCCCTATAAAAAAAATCCCTTTCATACGGAAATTGGCAAAGCTAATCCTAAAAATCATATGAAAATTCATGTAACCAGGAACAGCCAAAACAACCTTAAATAAAAACAAAGTTGGAGGACTCAGACTTTCCAATTTTAAAACTTAACACAAAACTCCATTAATCAAGACTGCATGGTTCTGTCATAAAGACAGATATAGAGATCAACAGAATAAAATTGAGAGTCCAGAAATAATCCCATATTTATGGTCAACTGATTTTCAGCACAGGTGCTAAGACCGTTCAATGAAGAAATGGTCTTTTCAACAAAAGTGCTAAGACAACTGGATAGCCACATGAATAATAAAGTAAAACTCCTCCTTTACACCATATATAAAAATTAACTCACCCTAGCCGGTTTAACTCAGTGGATAGAGCATCGGCCCTCAGACTGAAGGGTCCTTGGTTCAATTCTGGTCAAGGGCACGTACCTCGGTTGCAGGCTCGATCCCCAGCCCTACAGTGGGAGGCAACCACTTGATGTATCTCTCTCACATCGATGTTTCTCTCTCTTTGTCTCTTCCCCTCCCTTCTACTCTCTCTAAAAATCAATGGGAAAATATCCTCAGGTAATGATTAACCAAAAAAATTTTTTAACTCAATGTATCAAATAACTAAATGTAAGAGCTAAAACTATAAAACCCTTAAAATAAAACACAGATGTGAATCTTTGTGACCTGACATTAGGCAATGTTATCTTAAATGTGACACCTAAGCATAAGCAACAAAAGAACAAATAAATAAATTGGAATCATCAAAATTAAAACCTTTTGTGCTTCATAAGTCACTATCAAGAAAGTGGAAAGACAACTCACAGGTGGAGAGAAAATATTTACAAATAATAGCAAATTATTAAGGAATTAGTAAAAAATATTATCAAGAACTCTTACAAATCAACAATAAAAAGACAAGCAATCCACAATTTAAAAATGGCCAAAGGGCCAGAACCGGTTTGGCTCAGTGGATAGAGCGTCGGCCTGCGGACTCAAGGGTCCCGGGTTCGATTCCAGTCAAGGGCATGTACCTTGGATGCGGGCACATCCCCAGTGGGGGGCGTGCAGGAGGCAGCTGATCAATGTTTCTCTCTCATTGATGTTTCTGGCTCTCTATCCCTCTCCCTTCCTCTCTGTAAAAAATCAATAAAATATATTTTTTTTAAAAAAATGGCCAAAGGATCTAAATAGGTACTTCTCCAAAGAAATATACAAATGGCCAATAAACACACAAAAATGTGCTCATGCGTTTGGGTGGGTGGGGGAGGGAGGTCCCTCAGCCCGGCCTGCGCCCTCTCACAGTCTGGGACTCCTCAGGGGATGTCTGACTGCTGGCTTGTGGCTGGATGGTTTTCTGCTGCTGCATAGCCTGCTGCTTGAGCTTCAGCAGCTACTGCACATGCATGAGCTGGGCCACCATGGTCTGTCCTGTGAACACCATCGAGTAGGTGAGTGAAACATGGAGGCAGGTTCACCCTGAGTTCCCTGTGCTTCCCTGAGTCACTGAGTTGTTCAGATTGACTGCCTTCTACAGAGAACGGCACCAGGATTGGGCCTAAGCAGGCAATTGGACATTCCCTGAGGATGTAGCAGTGCGCCAAGTGGCAGGCGGCCAGGGAGGAGCCTGAATTGGGGCCTGGCGCCACGCTGCTTGCATTCATACTGGCTTGCTGAGCCTGCTGATGCCACTCGGTAGTGCTGACACCAAGTAGGGAGAGGCTCCCGCTGTGGCAGCTGCGCTCACCAGCCGTGAGCCTGGCTTCTGGCTGGGCGGCACTACCCCTGTGGTATCTGGCTGAAACTGGCTCTCCAACATCCCCCCAGGAGTCCCAGATTGCGAGATGGTGCAGGCCAGGCCCAGGGACACCACCAGTGCACTATTGAGGCCAGGGAGAGATGTGTGAGGTTGGCCAGCTGGGGAGGGACTGCAGGAGGTCTCCAGGGTGTGTCTCTAGCCACTCTTGCTCAGTCCTGATTGTCAGGACCCCAGCAGCAAGCTAACCTACTGGTCAGAGCATCTTCCCCCTGGTGGTCAGTGCACATCATAATGACTGGTTGACTCTCTGCCCCCTGGTGGTCAGTGTATGTCATAGCAATCAGTTGAATGGCCTTAACATCATTAGCATATTACACTTTGATTGTTTGAACAGCCAACCAGTCATCCTGACACTTAGCATATTAGGCTTTTATTATATAGGATGTAATTGGATTCCCTGTAGTGTGTGTGTGTGTTGGGGGCGGGGAGGAGTCGGGGGGGATATGGGGAGCAATCAGAAAAAAAATATGTAAGGAAATAATATATGAAAATGTTGCCAATTTAATGAAAATCATAACCACATATGCAGGAAGGTCAATATACCTAATGTAGGAAAAATGGGAACAAAA